CCACGCCCTATCTAATTATGAATGGCATTCTCACTTTGAAGAGATGCTTTCCAACCGGCATATGTTTATCTAAATCATTTAAACCACAGGGTGCAACAGTCTGATTAGCATATGACACTTCTATTTTGTGAGCTACACAGAACTGCATAAGATGCAACCAGTGGCATCATTCACAAATGCACCCTGTGGCCTGTGCACATGTACAAAGCACTTCTGAAATGCAGCACAGCTTCACATTTCAACCACAAACAGGAAAAGTAAGTCTGCTGACCACAGTAATAGGACTAGCAAAATGCTAAGTTACCTGGAATGTTTTCTTTTAATATAAAAAGTATAACTGCAGAGGTCCAATGTACAAATACAAAAACCTGTGCATAATAAATGTACCATAATACTGTACATACAGTGTAAACTGTTCAACAAGAATGATTTAAATATACCTGTTCTTCTCCTGACCTGGAAGACACAAGAATAAAATTCTGTAACTCTAGGACATGTTTATAAACACTTTTGAGAGCTTGGATCGCTAGCCAACGGTATCCCTGAAGATAAACAAATCCAAATGTTTACTCAAAGTACTTATTCATTGAATTGCTGGTTATCATAAACTAAGAAAAGTACACGTTCAGCCAACATTAAATCCAGACAGAGGTCTTTCCATCTCCCGATTTGCTACTAGCACTACTTTTGTTCGAGCCTGCTTTCAATTTTTTCTCTCTGGAACTGCTGGGATTGTTTTGGTTATTGTATGCCTGGATTGCAAGGTCCAGACGTTCCTGAGCCACTTTAATTTCCCTCTGTAGATTTTCTAGGTCGGCTGGAATGTTTTCTTCATTGCTCCCATACTGCTGTTCCTGAGCTATATTAGCTTTGTTTTGCTTGTAGGCCATTTTGGCATTGGACAATTCAGTATATTGGATTTGATCTGGCTTGACTGCAATGTTATAGCCAGGAGGAGCAGATGGAGTATTCCAAGTAAAAGGGTAGTTATAGGTACCCGAGTCTTCCAGCTGTTTTCTTTTATTGTTTAAAGTGTCTCGAATTGTACCAAATCCCAAATGGAGCATCTCCCAGACATTCAAAAGTAAACACAGGCAGCTTACACCATACATAATTAACAGGAAAATGGTCTTTTCAGTGGGTCTTGAAATGAAACAATCTATCTTGTGTGGGCATGGTTTCCTGCTACATACAAATGTGGGGCTGACTTCAAACCCATACAAAAAATATTGACCAACAAGAAAGCCAACTTCAAACGTAGTCCTAGACAGCAGCTGCAGCACGTAGATTTTCATGAGCCCATCCTCTCGGATTCGCCTCCTTCCATTGTGCTTGGCTTTAGTGGGGGCTGGCTGCTCTTTGTTTTCCCGTTCACTTTCTAGCTCTATTTCTGGATACATCATTGGATCTTCTTCATGGTCATCCTCTGTCTCCTCCAAGCCACGGTGTTGTTTCCAGCGCACTGAAAAAGTTTTGCTCCTGGTTCTTTTGTCAGGTTCGCTATGTTCCACCATTCTGGCAATTTTATGAATGGCATAGCCTAAATACATCACAGAGGGAGTGGCTACAAGAATGATCTGAAAGACCCAAAATCTCACATGTGAAAGAGGAGCAAAAGCATCGTAACAAACATTTTCACATCCTGGTTGCTCTGTGTTGCACACAAACTTGCTTTGTTCATCATAATAGATGGATTCCCCTCCCACAGCAGTAAGGACAATCCGAAAGACAATCAAAACCGTCAGCCAGATTTTGCCAACAAACGTTGAATGATTGTGGGTTTCCTCTAACAGACGGGTCAAGAAACTCCAACTCATGGTGGTCAAATCGTTTTTCTTTAAAAAAAAAAAAAAGAAAGAAACACATTACACGTTTAAAACCCTCCACACCAATAGTGCTAATATCTAGTCAAGAGAAAAGGAAATTTTATGATTCATACAAAAAAAAAAAAATCTACATTTTTTGGCTGTCTCACCTGTTATCCAGAATCTCTACAAGCCCAGTTTGCTTGAAGAATCTAAGTTTCCTTCATAGGTATTCAAGACTGCACTACAAATAAAGCAAAAAAAAAAAAAAAAAAGTCTTACGTCCACAAACAACTGTTCCCAAGGTTATTTTTAAAAGGTGGATAAAAATATTGATGCTTCTGTATCTCAAACTTGAATAAAAAAGACTATTTAGGCAGTTAGACCTGCCTGTACTACCATGGGCTGTCAGACTAAGTTACGCAACTTCAGCTACGTGAATAACATAGCTGAAGTCAACATGCTTAGGACTTCCCACTGCGGTATCTTCACAGCAGTATGTCAACAGTGAATGCTCTCCCATGGACTCCGTTTTCTCATCTAGTTTTGATGGAATACCAGAGTGGATGGGAGAGTGCTGGATGGTCAATTTCTAGTGTTTAGACATGATGAATCAACCCCCTCCCCTCGGCTCGATTGCTGCCCATTGTGAAGACAGGCCTCTGGGCTTAAATTCTCAAAAGGAGCCTACAAGATACAAAAGATCAATTATCATGAAATGCCTTACAACTGAGAGACTTACAGAGCTCAATCTATTTGGACAATCAAAAAGGAGACTGAGAGGTGACTTGCTTACAATGAACATGCAGAAAATACAGGGTACGAGAGGCCTCTACAATCTAGCAAAGCATAACAAGAACCAGTGGCTGAAAGTTGAAGCCAAACAAATTCAGATTAGAAATAAGGCACCATTTTAAAACAGGGAGGTTGATTAACCACTGGAACAAGCTACCAAGCAATGTGCTGAATTCTCCATCTCTTAATGTTTTCAAATCAAAACTGGAGACCTTTCTGGAAGATTTGCTTTAGTCATGTACAAGTTATTGGGCTCAACATAGGATTATAGTGAAATGTAATAATTTGGGAGGTCAGGTTACATGATCTAATTTCCCCTTCTGGCTTTAACCACACAAATCTAGTTACTTGGGAACTGTGACTCTACAGCTGGACCACATATGATGCTAGTTAGTATCTTGGTAGTTGGCCAATGAACCACAAAATACGTTTTTTTAAATCGACGCTGTCTCAACTCTAAATTCACTTTAAGTAGCCACAATCCACATTTGAAGATACACAAATGTAAACACGGCATACAAGCAGAATTTGGCCTTCAAATTTCCATTTTGCAGCAATATTCATGACAAGTTGACATGAGATGAAAACGTGACAAGAGATGAAAACAGAGAAGCCAACATTCAGAACAGACCAGCTTACCGTATAACGGAAGAAACTGGATCACTACTTTCAAAATAAGTTTATCATGAAATCTAGCAAATGTAAGTTAGTTAAAAGTCCTTTACACTGCTTTCCCTGCCCTTGAGAGCCCTCCCATAGCTGTACATTTTTTGTTTTTTTGCAGCACCATTTTTTTAAAAATAAAGTTTCTCTCTTCTTGCTGCGTGCCAAAACAACATGAAGTACGTGTCTTTAAATGCACAAACATAACGAAAATCTCTCTTTGAACTGTCAGTTTTAATGATCATAGGTGTGACAAACAACAGAGGTAAAAAAATTACAAATAGAAGTGTGATTTTTTTAAGATGACAGCATCCTTTAATAGCCTTATTAAACTGACTGCAGTTACAAAATACACGCCTCTGCCTTTACAACATGTACACTGCAGGACTCAACTACAGTAATAACCGTCACCTACATGCACACTGTACACTTAATACTTCCCAGATTTGCTGTTCTGGGAACATTTAACTTAATAACTCTCTATTGTTTGAAACAAAGGCTTATAGCCAGTGACACCCATCTGAAAAAGGCAAATTGTCAGCAATTTCCACTAATTTACATCATGCCACACGAGGCATTTGAGAGAGACTTTCATTCCTTATATTTGTCATAAGTTCATAACACCGTTAGAGCAGCAAAGAGCTGCTTAGAGCAGGCAGAGTAGACAATACAGACAGCATGCTCTTTTTCTCTGGCTGCAGGCTGGTCCTGACCACACCTTTATTAATCAGATTTGCCTACCTGATGAAGAAGCAAGACCCTGGCAAAACTGCTTAGGGGTCAACAATCTGTGGGCCAAATCCAGGGCCCTGCCCAATCGTGATCAAATAGGCTTGGCACAAAGAGCTTAATTGACCTGGGGGCGGGGGAGCGCGGCGAAGCCTCCTCCTGCCCTGCCAGGAGCACATGACACTTTGAAACACCGGGTGCTGCTCACAGGGCGGGGTGGGTATGGAGGAGCCCTGGGGGTGGGTGAGCGTGCCAAGCCTCTTCCAGGGCATGGGTGCCTAGTGGGAAGGGGGGGCAAAGGGGCTCCCCCACCCTGAGACCAATCATAGTCTGGGTACCCGCCCCTTCCTGTTTAGGCCCCTTCAAAAAAAATTTGAATTGGCCCCTGGGCAAAAATTATTGCCCACCCCTGGAATAGAAGAAGAGCTGCTCCACAGATGCCTGCACCAAGTTCAGCCAATGGAGCTACACAGTCATACCCTTCCCTCTATATCAGTGTTTCTCTAAGTGTGCTGCTTTAGGAAAGCCACTACTGGGCCTGCGCGACTTTGTTTACCCAGAGGCTCCATGGCCACGGATCCTTGCGGCTCCCTCTGGCTCCAGTTTGACATTTCCAGCCAAGGGGGAGCCGCAGGAAGCGGAATCCAGGCACACTAGCCACTTTGCCCACTTAGAGAAATACTGCTCTTTATGGAGGTCAGAGTTCCCATGGGCCTGTGCAGACAGGTACAGCCCTCATATGGACCTCACCACATCCCACCTCCCAGGCCTAGCCAAAGAGTGTGTGGGGCCAAAGCAGCACGCTGAGCCATGCACCTCCCAGCTGGGTGGGCGGGGCAGGGGCAGGGGCTGGGCAGCACGGGACCCTGAATGCGCAGGGCCCAAGGTGACCACCTCGCTCGCCTTGCCCAAAGGCCAGGCCTGCTGCCGGAACTATTAACTGTGATGCCAAAATTTTAAAAGGACTCTAGAAATGATCCTGGCAATTACAGATCAGTAAGTCTAATGTCAGCACCAGGCAAATTAGTTGAAACTATAGTAAAGAATAGAATTGTCAGACACGTAGATGAACATAATTTGTTGGGGAAAAGTCAACATGGATCTGGAAAGGGAAATCATGCCTTACTAATCTACTAGAGTTCTCTGAGGGAGTCAACACACATGTGGACAAGGGGATATGGGACACTTAGATTTCCAGAAAACCTTTGATAAGGTCCCCCACCAAAGGCTCTTATGTAAAGGAAGTTGTCATGGGATAAAAGGGAAGGTCCTCTCATGTATTGATAACTGGTTGAAAGACTGGAAACAGAGTAGGAATAAACTGTCAATTTTCAGAATGGAGAGAGGTAACTAGTGGTGTCCCTTAGAATCCATACTAGGACCAATCCTATCCAACCTATTTATAAATTATCTGAAGAAAGGGGTGAACAGTGAGGTGACAAAATTTTCAGATGATACCAAACTGCTCGAGATAGTTAAGACCAGAGCAGGCTCTGAAGAGCTTCAAAAGGATCTCACAAAACTAGGTGGCTGGGCAACAAAATGGCAAATGAATTGTAATGTTGATAAATGTAAAGTAATGCACATTGAAAAATATAATCCCACTATACATACAAAATGAGGAGGACTAATTTAGCTATAGCCACTCAAGAGAGATCTTGGAGTCATTGTGAACAGTTCTCTGAAAACATCTACTCGATGTGAAGTGGCAGTCAAAAAAGCAAACAGAATGCTAAGAGTCATTAAAAAAGGGGAGAATAAGATAGAGAATATCTTATTGCCTCTGTATAAATCCATGGTATACCCACATCTTGAATACAGCGTACAGATGTGGTTGCCGCATCTCAAAAAAGATGTATTGGCATTGGAAAAGGTTCAGAAAAGGGCAACGAAAATTAGAGGTTTGGAATGCGTGCATTTATGAAGAGAGATTAAAAAGACTTGGACTTTTCATTTTAGGAAAGAGGAGACTAAGGGGCGAGGGGAGGATATGATCAAGGTCTGTAAAATCATGACAGGTATGGAGAAAGTGAATAAGCAAAAGTTATTTACTTGTTCCTATCACATTAAGAACTAGGGGTCACCCAAATGAAATCAAGAGGTAGCAGGTTTAAAACAAACAAAAGGAAGTTTTTCTTCTCGCAGCGCCCAGTCAACCTGTGGAACCCCTTGCCAGAGGATGTTGTCAAGACCAGGACTTTTACAGGACTCAAAAAAGAACTAGATACATTCATGCAGGTTAGGTCCATCGATGGCTATTAGCCAGAGTAGGAAGGAATGGTGTCCCTAGCCTCTGTCAGGGGCTGGAATGGATGACAGGGGAGGGATCACTTGACAATTCCCAATTCTGTTCACTCCTTCTGGGGCATCTGGCACTGGCTACTGTGGGCAGACAGGATACTGGGCTAGATGGACCTTTGGTCTGACCCAGTACGGCCATTCTTATGTTCTTGGCTAGTGAGTGAGTGCCACTCATCCCTCCTTCATCTCAGTGGGCTGCAAGATTGTCAGACTCCAAGTGATCTCCCAGGACAGGGTAGTTTGGCTAACGGCACTTGCATCCCTAGAATTTGCAGAGTGCGCTGATTGAACCATAGCAATGCTCTGATCGGATGCAGAGAGCATGTGCATCTTCCAAATAAGTGTTGTGTGCAAATAGCAAGCATCCCACTTCACATGCATGGTACTTAGGAAGGAAAATACCAGGAGGAAAAAAAATGCAGATAGAAACCAGTGGAATCTGGCAATCCTGAACATGCATAATGGCAAACAAAACATGAGCCAAACACAGAACTCCAATGGGCTGCAGGTTGCACACCACTGTTAAGCTGTATGTTACCAAGAGGTTACCTAACAAGGGGTTGGTGGATCTCCCGTGTTTTATGCCTGGACTTTCCAGAGCAGCCTAAGCCTAATCAGGCTGCCAATTCCCACTGAATTCCAATAGGTCATGACCACCTTTTTTTGCACTATTATAAAAAAATCAGCCTTAAATAGTATGGGCGCTTGCTCATTTGTACAGCTAATAAGCAATAATTGAGGGGGAAGGCACTCAAGTAAGGAGATTACTTCATTACCCACATCTGAGCACATATTACCCAATTAAATTAGGTCCATTCATGTTCTTCAAATCATATTCACTTCATTTTGCTTTCAAACAATTTAGCATCTGTGTCCTAAGAAAAAAGAATGTGGGAGTTAACATTTGCTAAATTCATTGGTAACCAACTGAGCTTTCAGTAAATGCAGAATGAAATTTAAAGTGGCCCTAAAGGCCAATTATAATGACTCATCGTGGCTATTCATTCATATCTCATTTCTGTTCAAACATAAGAGATCACAAGATGAACAAGTGCTTGAGGTGAAGAGAAAAGTGGCTTTCTTTTCTTTCATTTAAAAAATGGCACAATCTTATTGCTCATGAAGAGAGGGAATAAAAGTCATTGGCTTGTGCTCAACCCAAAACAGGCACTGTGCAAGCTTCCCCAACACAGCATGGCCAGCACACATCTTTCTTGACCTACAAATCAGTTCGAAGTCCCTCCTCAAGTCAACAAGCAGAACTGTGTGAGTTTTGCAATACTGACAAATGGAGACTGGGATGAGACGATGTAATATTATTAAGCTTCCTTCAATTTGACATGAAATGGGATTTGCTCCCAACTCTCCACTAATCCCTGAAGCCACCACCCAAGAGTTATTAAAATGTATGATTGTACACAGCTGAGATAGATTTACATAAAACCAGAATTTGTTTGTGTCTGTTTCCGTAATATTTCTGAGTGAGGATTCTGCTATATTTTTAATACTCTGTATTTCCAATAGCCATCAGTCTATCTTGGAAGTTTCATGTGACACACAAAAACCTGAAGAGGGTTCAGAAAAAGGCACACGTCAATGTCAATTTGGAAAAGATTCCTGACTAGACATTTGACAACTTGTCTTATTCTGCCTTCAAATTCTGGGCACTGTGACAAGGTTCTGTTGATTCCCCACATCAGTTCCCCTTAACATTTGAGGGCCTATACAGGCAGTCCCCGGGTTATGTACAAGATAGGGACTGTAGGTTTGTTCTTAAGTTGAATCTGTATGTAAGTCGGAACTGGCATCAGCCGCTGCTGAAACTGATCAGTTTCAACAGCGGCTGAATCTGGACGCCAGTTCTGACTTACATACAGATTGAACTTAAGAAACCCAGGCGTCCCCAAGTCAGCTGCTGCTGCTGAAACTGATCAGTGGCTGATTCCAGGAAGCCCGGGGCAGACCAACT